AAACAAGCAAACAGCCCAGAGGCTGTCCTATATCAATCCTTAAAGGGCACTGCTGCAATATGCTCTGGCATCTGATAACGTTACCTGCATCACACAGCAATACTTTCTGCTGAGTCAGGATCAGCCTTGACACGTTCAGAACCACCTGCTTTTCATTTCTCCTCTCCCGCTTGCTTTTTCTCTCCCTTTGTACCTTCCAAAGGAATGGGCTAAATCAGTGAATTTCCCTTTGTTTTTCTTCTCCTGCCCCATTTACCACGTATTTTTCATCTGTTTCTTCCACTTGGCCTGATCAGCTTAATGTCCTCTTCCTTCTTGACTGATCTGTTTCATTCATTCTTAAGTATAGTTTTCTAAAAAGGATGCAGCTGTATCACACAGACCAAACATGTACATTTAAGTGCTGCAGTTTAAACTCAGTCTTGGCTCTAAGGGTTTATGCCAGGGTTAAATAAATGTGGAAAGGGCCATTAAGTATGTTAGAGTCGACATAAGCATACACATAGTCTGACGTAAGCATACACATACACATGCTCATGGATATACAAGCTCCTAGCCAAATGTCTGTCTGTCTAAAATACATTCTAACATGGTTCAAGCCCATCAAGAAAGGCTGGTTAAACTCCACTGTAATCTTTGTTTAAACCACAGTTGTTAAACGCCATTTATTTGCTCTGGGTAAATGGTGCCTTTGTTTTCCTTCCACCGCTTTATGCAGCCTTCATGTGACACATACATAGGAAAAATTGTCCCCTGGGCCCGGTAAGCTTGGACTGCCCCTTCCAGTGGTTTTTCATTCATACTTATGCCTTCGTCAGCACAGGACTTGGAAGACAGAAATGATGCCTTGGATATTTGTTCAGAGTTTGCTCACTATGCACTCAAAAGCTAAAGCACATGGTTGAACATCAAGATGCTTAACTCCATTCTCAGCTGCCCTCGTCTTTTTATGCAGCTTTAGCCAATTTACGCAGCATCCTCCTTCCCACCAGTCAGGCCATCTTTAATGAGGCCACCTTAACAACAACTTGCGTCTCCCTTGCAAAGCGGGGAGGCCTAATTGCACTGCAAGTGTCTTGAGATTCTCAGATGGGCAAAATGTTCATTCCACCCTGAGCTGCGTCACTGCACAGCATTAACATGCACAGCCCCTTATCCACTCCTCACTCACCCCCCTGCAGCTCCCTCAAGAAAAATGGCAAAGAACAGGATGAAAAACATCTTCCCACCTGAAACTCCTCTTTATTCCATAACCTATTTTCATGAAGCGCTTCAGCCTCAGAAAGGTACTCCTGCCTATGGTGCTGAGCATCTGTGACTCACACTGCAATCAATGGGAGCAGAGAACAGTCATCTTCTGGTGGAGACCAGACTTTAACCATGTTTTTACTACTTCAAAACTTGACAGACTTTTCTTGAAATAAAAGGGGAACTGCATCAGTTACTGAGCAACTTCAACAAATTCCAGCAAATTGTTCAAGGTAACAATATGTCCATACAAAGGAATTCTACCTTATAAAAGCAATTTTAAAGGAAGCACACCTTTAAACTCCACAAAAACTCAAACCCAGTCACTGTGTTGACTTCAAAAGCTTAAAAGGGAAGCGAGCAAAGCGCCTAGAGAGATGAGGAGAGATCCTAATCTCCCCTTTCAGGACAATTCCTCAGCCTTGACTTTTGGTTCTTTGCGTGCAGAACGACTTGTACCCAATTAAATGTCTTTTAATCCAGGGCAATGCAGGCAGCAATTCTAAGGTAGCTAGACTCCACAGAATCCAGGTATCCTCTGACAACTTGGAAAGGAAGATCAAAGGCAACCTTATGACAAAGGGGCAGGTAAATTCAGATGGCAGTTCCCAGACCTGCTTGATTTAAAGCAGTGGGGTGACTGTGTTTTCATGCAGGTATGGTGCAGCGTAACAATTTCCTGGCATGGTTTGGGATGGGATGACCTGTAAAACTCCCATGCGCTGAATTATGCAGGTCACTGAGAACAAAGGTCAGTTAAACCTTTATCCCCTCCCACAATGTATTTTAGATAAGCCACATATTTTACAGAATTGTGATGGCAATTTAGGTCACTTAAATACATACAACCTTTTTCTGTACTGACACATAAAACACACTTTCTTCGCAACACAGAACAGCCCAGAATGGCAAGGGTTGTCTTCTTCTGAACTAGCAGGATGGGCACGCTTTTGATAGTAGAACTAGCCATTTAATCTGAAGTGGTAAAATTTGTGCTCCCAGGAGGCAACTGCCAATATTTCTGCCAGGAGAGAGAGAAACTGAAGAGAACAGTTAACCTGAGGAAGCCAGCGACACATACTTGCTGACATAAAAATCAGGTCATTATGTTATTCCATGCGTTTACAGGTTCAGAAATAATTCTTTAAAGATGGGAGTTCTAATTTGCACCCTTAGTTTGCACCCTTAGTTGCCACTGTGTTAAACTGCAGAATCGTTGCTCACACGGCTATTAATTAAGGCTTGTGTCAGCACTTCCATTACAAACCTCTGCCTTCTAGGAGTTTATAACTGGGCCATAAAATTTTGCTCTAGGCTGAACTTTACCATGAAAAGGTCTCCCTAGAAGGAATCCATTCTTTTGTATTTTGGAGAGCCAAAAGCTTTCAGCAAAAAAAAACAGGGATTTTCTTCTAAAGGATGCTGTAAAAAGAACTTCAGCTGATTTTTTTTATAGGAGTGGTGGTGGAAATGTGCCTTCTAGATTGCCCCCTAAATGCTTACTGGTCGGGGTGGGGTCGTTTGTGTGCTTAACACTGTAAATTTTAGGGATTCTACTTTTTGTTTTTCAGGGGCAAAATCTGCTTTGTCAAATACCAGTGAATGCCACTGCCCTCACTAGTTCCCTGATGGAGTATGAATCCAGTGCAGATTTCCCACCCTTCATTCCCACTGCCTCCATTGAACCTCCTGGCGGGTGCCAAGCCTTCATTCATACTCCAGCAGTCAATTAAATATAGAGGGACGCGTCTCTCCAGGTGCATAGTTTTGTCCACAACCTTCACACACCAATGTTGCCAACAGAACAATCCAAACCGTCCTCACCTTGCGTATGGCAGGGGTGGAAGGAGTTAAAACAACAAAGAATTTTATTTGTCCTTCACTCCTTCGCGGCACACTCACTCTTGTGCCACGCTTGTTGTTGGGAGCACGCAGAACAGAGGCAGCACTTGTCAGAGCTGCACTTGAAGGGCATACGGTGGAGTTGGAGCTCATTTCTAATACTCTTTCTTCCTGTCACTGATGCTTACACTTGAAAAACATTCTGAGGCTTGCAGATAAAGCAGAGAAATGCCCACATCAGCTGCAATACTGAGATGTATGCCTTTATAAAGCTCTTAAACAATGTTCACTTGAGTAAATCCTTCATCTGCTGCACTGAGTCTAATGCATGTGAGTCTCGTCACAAAACTCATCAGATAAAATTATTTACGCACCCCTGTCCAGACAATTTGATCTCTGTAAAGTATGAATCATCTTTCTTAAATGTTTGAGAAATGCCTACCATACAGTGGGTACCTCCACAGTAACAGTAATAGTAATAATTTCCTACTGTTTATAATCAGTAACTGAACAGGAAGTCTGCACAAAGCATCAGAACTGGTTTTAGCACATCAGAAAAGTTATTAGTGAACTATTATTCGCAAGCAGCTCCTATGGATCAGATTCCGATTTCTACAAAATCCACATACATATGAAGCACATACAGACCTAGATTCTGGCCTACTCTAGGCCTACTCTACCTCCTTCTGTTCTGTGTTCCCCGAGAAGTTTCAGGGGCAAGTCTGCTATTTACTGGCCGCACGTACTAATTTATCTTGTTTTAGAAAACAGGCAGCACCTGCCAGGCCCATATATTTCACTGAGAGATGGCAACTGAGTATAAAAAGCAACTTTTAAAATTCCAGTTATCTTCTCCTAGTGCAGAAGTAAATAATTGCAACTACATTTTTAAAGGGTTGGAAAAGTTTATGACTACCAGCAACACAGATGGAGAAAATGCACTAGTAAACACCACGTGCAGGTTATCAACTGACCACTTCAGAGGGCACAAAGAAATATTCCTGTTTGTAACGGCATATCTTCATTTTGTGAATTCCCACCTTCTTCAGGTATCTGTTACTGCAGGAAAGCAGACTTTAAAACCAATATAATAGATTGGTTTGTCAGTCTCTCTGTTCTCACAGTTCAGGCTCCTATATCATTTTTTCATACCTTGTAAAATGCTTGTAATTTTTTTGAATGACAATTTTTTTCCCAACTCGTAAATACTCTTGCTCTGCATTTGCAGCTGTAGAAGTTCACCCCATTCATACTTCACATTGCAAAATGCAGGGTCCTATTAACTGCAGCACTTGTACTTCAGTACTGCAGTACGACGACTACATGCAAAAGTTCTTGCACAACCAGGGTGTCTCAGTGGTATCATTTTGTTATCTAAGCATGTGTCAGGCAGTGGCTCTTGTTGTATGCAGGCACAGGCCCACCTTTTAAGGCAGCGCTGCTTCGCCTTTGCTAAGCACAGCGTTGCAGTTTCTGAGCAACTCAGAAGCATAAGTCAGTCCGGCCTTCAAGGAGTCTTATAAACCAATAATCATTTTTGCAAATGAGATGTAGGCTCCCATATCAATTAGGAAATATATGCGGGCCACCTCAACTTTGCGTTCTTGCAAAAAAGGACCAGGGTAAGCATATATCAAAAACATTAATGGGATTTCTTTACAAGTCCAATTGAGTCTCTCTTCCACCATAAAAAAAGACTTTTTCCCCCCACAAGACATATTTCTCCAAATAAAAGAACAAAAAAAGAAAGAATATGTGGGAAGGGGAGAAAGAGGAAGACAGAAGGAAGAAAAAAAACCACAGCACTGACAATTAGAAACGCTCATTCACATCTAACAGCATCCATATGCCAGTAACATGTATCATAAACTCTTAGCCTACCATACAAAGAGGATGCCCCAAAATGGTACCTGCAAGAGGTCTCTCGGAAGGAGATGTTTAAATCCCAGTGGGTGTGTATCCTGTTAACAAACAAACAGAGAGGTCAATGGCACGTCCTGAACACTGCATCTCTTGCCACTCAAAGAGTAGCTCCAACATGACAGCCCACCCACTCTCCTCTCTCAGGCTCCCTCCAGGCCTCAGCTACAACTACTGCGTCTTTCCCGAGCTGCGGGGGTGCTGCAACGAGCCACGCTGCACTCACAACAGCTCTGAGTGTCCACAGCAGGCCACACAGTGCTGTCGAGTAGAGCCCTGCAAGTGAGCCGTACAGCAGTGAGAGAACTGCTTCTGGCTGCATGCAGCCTCCTTAACAGGTGTGGGCCCCACTCATAATTTATGAATAAAACTCAAATAGGCCTGTACTGCACTCCCTCCTCCATGCCCACCTCCGCTTTAAATAAATTATTAGCAATTTCCCACCTTGGAAATTAATTTCACATATTCTGTCACTCTGCCTGCTGACAAGCAGGAACAGCAGACTCTAGGTGAACAACATCCTAAATTAAGATAGTGCAGCCAAGGGGGTTGGTTTTGCTCTGTTTTGTTTTTTTTTCCCCTTGATACTCTCTTCAAGAAGACAGCACCTACACCAACCCAGAGGACTAAGGCAGGCACTTGACCTTCTATGATCTGGTGGCTCCACATGATACCAGGGAGCACTGGTTTCCCCTGCCACCCAGAGAAGGTCTGCAACCACCACTGTTCCTCCATGTCAAGGTGATTGACAGGAACCCCAGCCATCTGAGACCAAACTGGCAAGCAAGCCTATCTGTAAGCACAGATCCATCCCCACGTCCCACATCCCTGCCTGTGAACATGCCGGTTCCCAGCTGTGTGTGTCACCTCCTGCAGACAGAGGTTCCAGAAGCATTAAACAGAGGTGCCTGCAAATATCGCAGCCAGCAGAGGCCAAATGCACTTTTGCTTATTCTGTGCACCCCCACAGTGCCTCTGCCTCTGCCCTCAGCTAGGAAAAGCAACAGCTTGAGGCTGAAGACCATCTGATTGCAGAAAAGGCCTAATCCAAAACTTGCTGAGTCAATGAGAGCCTTTCTCCTGATTTGAACGTGCTTTGAATTGGGCCAGAAAACACTTAAGCCTGAGCAATGAAGTCAATGGGACTTCACCGAGATTTGAGTGTCTGCTTAAGTGCTTTCCTGAATGAGTGCGCCTGCTTCAGCCTAGTTCAGAAATCAGCTGAAAACAACACTTAACACGTAAATAATTTCACATCTAAAGCATGCTGCTGCAAGTTTTACTAATGTGATAGTATATCTTTTGTGCATTTTCTGCAAGATTGGCTCAGAAAAGGAGCCCAGTTGCTCTTTGAGCAGTTTTGGGGGATTGTTAGATTTTATTAAATATTAAGTTCCACCAATAAAGTGGGGCTCAGAACTGTATTTATGAGTTCCTCTCATCTCAAATCTAGTTTTTCCTCCTACTACTCTTCTTCCTGCTATGCAACAGTTTAGGAAACCTGTCCCAGCTTTCCATCTTCCCAGCTTTTTATCTGCAAACAGAAAAAGCATGGATACTCCCCAGCTACTGAGCTTACAGCAACAACGGTTGTTCTCAAATGTCAAAATTCAAGCAACATTTGTAAACCTTTTAGACAGCACGAGCCAAGTTGAGGCACTGAGCAAAATCTCCATGAACTGAGGTTTTGCTCAAACTCAGGAACACGTTCCGACATTCCGGGAGGCAAGCTGATTTGAATCTGAAGTTCAAAGCAAATTCAAGCCAGTCAAAGCCCATGGGGCCCTAACAGGACCAGAAAGGTCTGGCCTGCTCACAGGAGACTGGAATTGGTGGAGGGTGCTGGGCTTAATTTTTGCACTGCTCTCTGGAATACAAGATTCTTCACACACATAGGAGTTGTGTAAACCCCCTCTTTAATTCCAGCTCATCACCTTGCACTGTGGCAAGGTGCAAATCCACTCCTGGCGGCTGCACCGTGGAAGCGGGGAGAGCTCCAAGCTCTCTGCCCAGCAATGAACCCTGGGACCAGCTAGATACCAACCTGCAAGTTTGAAAAGGAACCTTGTGCTTCTCCTGTTTCTCTGCCTATAAAACACTCTCCAGCGCCCTCAAAGATTCAATGCCATGTTTGTCTGGTTAAAACTGCACGCTCCCTTTCCTGAGGGAAAAACTACAATTCAAAAAAGCTGTGGTTAAGGTAACCTACCCCATGGTCTCTGGAGGCAGCACACATCTCCTCCAAGCAGTGTTCAGAGCCTAACAGTGGGCCCCAGTCCTCTTTGGGCCATGTATGTGCTCCTGATACACCACTGCGCGTGCTGCACTGGGCCCTCCCAGGGCCCGGGTCGCTGGCCCATGGAGACAGACACACGGTAACAGCGCGTCCCGTTCTGCCTCACTTCGAGTAGGGGTTTTACCCCAGCTCAGCTAGCTGTGTGCCCCTCCTTCGCCCAGGTGCTCAGCTCCGGAGTTCACAACACGCAGTGGGCATCCATCCGTTATAACTCTGCTTGGCAGGCATATCTTCATAGTGGACTCTCAAAGCAGCGCTGCGATACTCTTTTCACCTGTGTGGCTATTGTACCTCATCCAACAACCTCTGTCCTCACTGGACATCGTCATCGCCCGCAGCTCTCTGACTCAGACCCTGGGACTGCACAGCCTGCCCTGTAACGGGAGGGTCCAGATCCTCCCCAAATGCCAGGGAAGCAGGTACCTCTCAGCCGCAGCGCTGCCAAAGGAGGCATAAGGCAGAGAGGAAGCGAAGTGACCTGCCCAAGGCAGCAAAGGGAACCGACATCAGAGCGGGAGCTTGCCTGGGCTCCTGGCTCTCCACTTTGGGCTCAGTCCCTGAGTTCAACTCTCAGCCTCCCATAAAACGTAGCAGAGGTTGCTATTGACATCGGTAGACATCTTACAGCAATCCTGAGCGTCAGGCGAAGGCATGCCTCATAACGAGGCTTAGCACAGCTGAACTTCAAAGCGTAAGAACACTGCATCATACAGTTATAAGGAACGGGGAGGGAAGACCTCACGCTAAAGGAATAGCTCAGGTCTACACAGAGGCAGACAGCTATTTGCCAAGACGGATAATTAAGCACCCATATTTAGACAAATGAATAGGTGAGAATGAAATTAAATCCTAATTATCCTTTTTCGGGGGTGGGAGGGAGAGGGAGCATACCCAAGCACTCATTCCACGTTTCTATGCTGTTATCGCCAATTAGATTTCTGAGGCTAATGTACATTTTGCTTTAACGGGTTATTCATTCAATTGAAATCAAATTACTAATAATTTGCAAGCTATCAGCTACACAAGCCCGTCCTTGGGTTGTACAGAGAGTGGTGAGCAGGGGCCAGTTCCTTACAAATTAATAACAGAAAAGGAAGGGGAAAAACAAAAAAACGTAGCCAGGCAAGCGAAGGCACTACTTCTGCTACCATCCCTCCCACCTCCTCACCCGCCCAAGATCTCAGACACAGTGTGATCAGTTAGATAGATAGGGTTTAATAGAAATGACCAGATGGGTCCCACAGCAACAGGAGGAGGCTGGCTCCCTGCACTGCTGTGTAGCAGGGGAGGCAGGCTGAGAGGGATGGGAGCCGGGGGAATTAACAACCTGCTGGAGCAGGCGCCTCAGCGAGGAGCGACTGGAACCTCAGGGCTTGGTTTGCACAAAGAATGAAATCACTTATATATGCATGTGCATCAAAAAAGATTTAACAGGAAGGGCTGAGGCTATTCGAGGCATATCTGGATCCTGCACTGGAACGAGAATCCAGCCCAGAAAAGAAAGCGACAGAGTTGGCAAAATAATGGAGAGCAGCTGGGATACTTTTTAATTTTTAAGTTGTTTTTTTTTCCTTCCCCTTCATTTCTTTTTACCCTAGCGGCCCCTGCAAGCTTTCAACACCAGAGGGGCAACCATGGAAGAGGCCAACAGAGTGAGTCAGGCATCCCCTAACGTCCTATCACTCCAGGGGCAGCAACAACCTCATTCTGCAGCTGAGCTTTTGCTCTGTGGCCAACTCACTTTCTGCTGCTCCCTTTGGCTCACTCCAGATGTCCCAGGTGCACGCTGCGCTAACCAATACACATGGCATACAAGTGTGGAGAATACTGGACAGCATCCAGCTACAGGAACAGGTCACTACCGCCAGAAGCGGAGACCGTCAAAGCCATCTCTTACCCACAACTGTCCCCTTCTCCTCCCATTACGCTTTTAAGACCAACACTTCATTTGGAGGGGGTTTAATCTGTATCTTTCAATTTTCTAGCATGGGCAAGGCCACAGAGAAGGGAGAATACGGACAAGGTTTCCCCACATCCCCTGGATTAGAAGACTGTACAGAAGGGACGGTATTGGCAAAAGAGCGAATTAAGGACTTCTGTTCCACTGGCACAGCCCAACCCTGCCATGGTCAGTGGGAAGTCAATGTGCCCTGGAGCAGGCCCTTGGTCTCATCCTCCTGCATGAAAACGCAGAGGGCTTAAGCACACGGTGAGGCCCATGCAAAGCAAACGGCAACGCTGCAGGTGAGCGGTTTGGGACGATGTATTTGCAGGCATCATCACGCAGGCTGCTTCGTTGCAAGGGCAGAGCTAGCGCCCTCCCTCCTTCCCTGCTCTTCCCATATACTACCATCTCAACTCCCACAGTCTCCCTAGATTCATGCCACACTATTTTCAGGCAGCCGACATAGGAAGCTTGTGCAGGCAATGAGGAGAGGTTGGTTCCTCCAGGGAACCTCATATATGACGGCACAAAGAATGGCCTAATGACTACAGCAAGGCTGACACTTGGACTTGGGGCATCTTGGTTACTCTTCACCCTGGAATCAATGTCGTAAACGTCAGGTGCAAGGAGCTACACAGAAGCATCCAGGAGCACTTCCGGGACAGGATTTCATTTGCTTTCATTCTCACACCTCACCTTTCTCTCCAGTCTCATACCTCTTTCTCGGGCAAGAAAGGATTTCTTACTGTGTATCATACCTTATCCTGCAGCATCCCTGAGAAGTAAGTAACCATTTCCTC